GATTTCTCTTTCTGTTGGTTCATTGTTAGTGTATAGGAAAGCCACAGATTTCTGTGTGTTAATTTTGTATCCTGCAACTTTGCTGTATTCCGATATCAGTTCTAGTAGTTTTGGGGTGGAGTCTTCAGGGTTTTTTATGTACAGTATCATGTCATCTGCAAATAATGACAGTTTAACTTCTTCTTCACCAATCTGGATTCCTTGTATTTTTTGATTTTGTCTGATTGCCATGGCTAGGACCTCCAGTACTATGTTGAATAACAGTGGGGATAGTGGGCATCCCTGTCTTGTTCCCGATTGCAGAGAAAAAGGTTTCAGCTTCTCGCTGTTCAGTGTGATGTTGGCTGTGGGTTTATCATATATGGCCTTTATTATGTTGAGGTACTTGCCCTCTATACCCATTTTGTTGAGAGTTTTTATCATGAATGGATATTGAATTTTATAGAATGCTTTTTCAGCATCTATGGAGATGATCATGTGGTTTTTGTCTTTCTTTTTGTTGATGTGGTGTTTGATGTTGATGGATTTTCAAATGTTGTACCATCCTTGCATCCCTGGGATGAATCCCACTTGGTCATGGTGTATGATCCTTCTGATGTATTTTTGAATTCGGTTTGCTAATATTTTGTTGAGTATTTTTGTGGATGCTGAATTTTTTTACAGGTCAAAGGTTTGTGGTGGTCCCATGTTGAGGAAGTCCTACTGGTGTGATTTTTCCAACAGCGTTTGCCCAGTTCACGTCCCTGGGTCACATTTTGGTATTCCTTGCAATATTTCAAACTTTTCATTATAGTTATTTCTCTCATGGTGACCTGTGACCAGTGATCTTTGATGTCACTGTTGTAATTGTTTTGGGGGACTCTGAACAATTGCCTGTGTATGAGGGTGAACTTAATTGATGAATGTGTGTGTTCTGACTGCTCCACTGACTGGCCATTCCTCCATCTCCCTCCCTCTTCTAAGGCCTCCCTGTGCCCTGAGACACACCAATATGGGAAGTAGGCCAGTTACTAACTCTATAGTGGCCTCTGTGTGTTTAAGTGTAAGGAAGAGTTGCATGTCTCTCACTTTAAGTCAAAAGCTAGAAATGATTAAGCTCAGTGAGGAAGGCATGTTGAAGCTGAGATGGAGTGAAAGCTGGGCCTCTTGCCCCAGTCAGCCCAGCTGTGGGCGCAAAGGGAAAGGTCCTGGAGGAAAGTAGAGGTGCTCCCCCAGTGACCACATGAGTGGTCAGAAAGCAAACCAGCCTCGCCGTTGATGTGGAGAAAGTGTGAGTGGTCTGGACAGAAGGTCAAACCAGACAACATTCCCTTAAGCCAAAGCCTAATCCAGAGCAAGGCCCTGCAGGGGAGGGAGCTGCAGAAGACAAGTTTGCAGCCAGCCAAGTTTGGCTCCTGAGGTTTAAGGAAAGGCGTCTCCATGACAGAAGTAAGGTGAGCAGCAGGTGCTGATGGAGAAGTTGCAGCAGGTTACCCCGGAGGTGGGGCTGAGGTTGCTCAGGAAGGTGCTGCACTGACACCAGACCTTCCGTGCAGAGGAAATGGCCTCTGTTGGGAGATGCCATCTGGGATCTTCACAGCTGGAGAGGCGGAGTCAGTGCCTGGCTCACAGCCTCCAAGGACAGGCTGACTCTCCCATTAGGGGCTAATGCAGCTGGGGACCTCAAGCTGGAGCCAGTGGCCACTGACCATTCTGAAAATGCCAGGGCCCCTAAGAATTGTGCTGAGTCTACCCTGCCTTGCTCTGTCAGTGGGACAACAAGGTCTAGATGACAACTCATCTGTTAAAACATAGTTTACTGAATGTTTTAATCCCATTGTTGTGACCTGCTCAGAAGAAAAGATTCCTTTCAAAATGTGACTGCTAACTGACTATACACCTGTCATTCAAGAGCTCTGGTGGAGTTGCACAACGAGATGCAGGTTGTTTTCATGCTGCTAACACAGCATCCATTGTTCAGTCCATGATTCAGTAATTTCTACTTTCAAGTCTTATTACCTAAGAAATATATTTCCTAAGGCTACAGCTGCCATAGGTGCATCTGAGCAAAGTGAACTGAAAGCCTCTGGAAAGGATCCATCATTCTAGATGCCACTAAAAACATCTGTGGTTCATGGGAAGAGGTCAAAATACCAACATTAAAGGGGCTTGGAAGAAGTTGATTCCAACCCTGAATGATGTCTGTGAGTGGGTCAAGGCTTCGGTGGAGGACGTCACTGCAGGTGTGGGAACAGCAAGAGACCTGGAACTCGAAGTGGGGCCTGGGGATGGGGCTGAACGGCTGCATCTCATGATTAAACTGGAATGGATGATGAGCTGCTCCTTATGGCTGAGGAAAGAAAGTGGTATCTTGAGACGGATCTGCTCCTGGAGAAGATGCTGTGAAGATTGTTGAAATGACAACAAAGGATTTAGCTGACAAAGCAGTGGCTGGGTTTCAGAGGACTGACTCCAGTTGTGAAAGAAGCACTACTATATATAAAATGCCATGAAACAGGCATCACTTGGGACAGAGAAATCTCTCAAGAAAGGGAGAGTCTAGTGATGGGCCAAACTTCACTGCGGTCCTGTTTTAAGAACTTGCCCCAGGCACCCCGCCGTCAGCAGCCCTGCTGTGGTCAGTTGGCAGGACCCTCCACCAGCAAATGACTGGAGATGCGCTGAAAACTCAGAGGGCGGTCAGCATTTTTTAGCAATAACGTATTTTCTAACCACGGTGTATATGCTGCCGTTTTAGACATAACGCTACTGCACACTTACCAGACTGCAGTGCAGCGTGGATGTAACGTGTGCGTGTACCGGGAAAGCCGGGAGCGCGTTCGGCTTGCTCTGTTGGTTTAGCTGCATCATGGTGGTCTGGAGCTGATCCCCCAACTTCTCTAGGCGCTGCGAGTAGGTTTGCAGATGTCTGAGACAAAATCAGCAAAGAAAGTCAACAGTGTGTAGATTTCTAGAAAAACAGAAAACTACAGTTAAAGAAGACATTGTCTCTGATAGGCAACGTAATCTGCATGAAAACAGGAGCTGGCGCGGTGCGTGGAAAGGGCACAGAGCCAGGCTGATCACATCTTGCCTCTCCAGTTGTGCTAGTAATACTGCTCCAACTTTGTATTTCAGATTCCCCTTGTGCATCTAAATATGTTAACAAAATAGTCACTTCCATTCCCATTAAGTATCAAATTAGCCAGAGAAGTTGAGTAATGTGCAAATGCTCCAAAAAGAAAATATTAAAAAATGAATTTGAACTTGGCAACGCCATTCAATCAACTAATGGGATGTACTGTGTCTTGCATGCCAGACATCATGCTTAGCACTTTACACAGGCAGTTTAATTCCACAGCACTGCACGGTGGTCTCACACCCACCATTTATTGTTCCACAAAATAGGCTTGCAAAGAGTGTGGTAGTTTACCAGGAGTTATAAACTCAGGTGTCCCATTTCCACCTACGATAGTATTGTTTCGGAGACTATCTAAGGCATGAATATCTTGCCAAGAAGGGACCAATTTGCTGGCAATCAAGTGATGGCTCAGTACCACTGCCTCTGGAAATAGCAAATAATGGCAGCAGGGGGCATCCAGCCGCCTCCTTCAGGATGAGTTGGAAAGGAAGCACGGGTACACACGGTGGAAAAGCGGGATACAGCTAAGGATCTGGACTGATTCAGCCAGCGTTAAGAAGCGGCTTTGGGACAGAGAGAGACCACGGCCCGGAGGCGGATTTAAACGATGTGCCCCCTGCAGCCGGCTGGTGCGGTGGCCTGGGGGCTGCCCAGGCCTTTTCCGCCCGCCCAGCCTGCACAGGCCGCGGCAGGGGGTCTACCGGCGCTCGCCTTCAGAAGGGAGGGCAGATCCCGTTATAACGGACACGCACGAGCCAAAGCACGGGGACCGCGCGCCTCTCCAGGGAGCGCGGGATGCGGAGCGAGGGTTCGCTACGCGGGGCAGAAGGCACCCCGCTCCCGTGCGCGCACCCGGAAGGAAGTGACACCGCCGAAGGCCCTCCTCCAGACCCCCTTCCCCGGGCGCACCGCCCCATCGCCGCTCCACGCCGGGGTGCACCGAGCCCAGCGCGTCCTCCGCCCGCCGCACCGCGGCGACCGCGGGGCCCGGGCGCGGGGGCGGTGCTGACGCAGGGCGCGGGCCAATCGGCGGGCGCGGAGTTCCGGCGGGGCGGGGCGGGCCTCCAGGGCGGCCGGTGCGGCAGTACTAACGCTGGCAGTTCCCGCGGCGCGGACGCCCCACCCTTTCGGAGGCGCCCCCTGCGACCCGGCCGCGGCTCCGACGGCGCCCCAGCTCTGCCCCTGCGAGGGTCTCCGGCGCTCCACGCCCGGGGTCCGGGTCCGTGGCGGCGCGGCGCAGCGCTGGCCGGGAGGCGGCGATGATCCTGCGGCTGCCGCCCTTGCGGCTGGGCGGGCTGCGGGCGGGGCCCGAAGCCGGAGCCGGAGCGCGCGCACCGCGGGCCGGGACACCGTCCTCGCCTGCGCTCGGCTCCGGCGGCCGCGGCGGGGCGCCCGGGCCCGACGCGGCATGAGGACGGGGCCGCGCGCCGGCGAGCGCCCAGTCCCTCGGCCCGCGGGGCCCCGGCGGCTCCCGCGCTAGCGCAGCGCAGGCCCGGGGGGCGGGCGCGCCGGGAGCAGGTGCCTCCCTGTCCGCGGGGCCTCGCGGCGCTTCGCCCGCCGCCGCCCGCGCCTCCCGCCCCGGCTCTTCGGGGCCCGGGGGTCCCGGCCGCCGCCCCCCTCCTGCGCGCGGCGTCGCGACCGGGGGTTCCGCGCGTGTCCTGGGCGGCCTGGCCGGGGCGCCGCCGAGCCGCGGGCGGGCGAAGACGATGTCTGCGGTGCGGCGGGTGCTCCGCGTCTCCAACCGCTCCCTGCTCGCCTTCATCTTCTTCTTCTCCCTGTCCTCGTCCTGCCTCTACTTCATCTACGTGGCCCCGGGCCTCGGTAAGCTCCGCACCCCTCGCGCCTCGCTCGCGTGGACGCCCTGGAGGAGGCGCCGCCGCTCCCGGGCCCGGCAGCGCGTCGCTGGAAGTGTCCCCGCGGGGCGGCGGAGGCGCCGCTTTGGGCCCGGCGTGTGGGCAGGTGCCGCGGCCGGGTGGAGGGGCTGCGGCAGGCGGGAGAGGCAGGCGGCGGCGGCGCCTAGGGGTGTGGGGCCCGGGGGGGGCGCCTCGGGGTGGGGGGCCCGGGAGCCGCCGCTCCGCCCGAGGGGTTCCGGGCTGCGAGCTGCTCCGTGAAAACTGGGCTCCGCTGCTTGGTCGGCTTCCGAGGTAAAATGATGAAAGGGACAATTATGTAAGATGGTTTGTAGTTTAAAATTTTAGCCTGTTTATCAGTTTTTGGCCTTCGGTCCGAAGTACACTTGTGTAGAATCTGCTTGAATTGGCTTCTTGGTTGAATACCTACCTCCTCAGGCCCCTCGGGTTGAAAACGCACCATGGGAGCATTCTAATGAATGAAAAATAGGAACTTCACGTAGATGATAAAACACTTAATGTCTCCAGAACTTTTCTTAGTTTCCTCGGGTCAGTTTGTGTCTGATGTTAATTTACTTAAATTACTTAGGAACGGTGTGTGCGTCAGCTGTCACTTACTTTTAAACATTACTAGTCCGCTGAGCAGAGCTAGCTAAAAATGGATGGCCTCTTAAGAGTGAAACACCTGCAGAATTTTGACATGGAATCGTTACCTTTTATTATTTTGCGTGGTAATAGATTACTGTAATGCATTGCGGTGAAGAAGGATGAAGCAGATAGCTCATGGAGACTGGTTTATTTCCTAAAACAAAACATTTCCTACAACATGACTTTTTCTTCATTAAATTTTCAGGTTCAAGTTAAGATGTACAAGCTTAGATCAGGATGCTTGGGAAAACATAAATATTGTTGAAATCTTGATGTATCCCAAAATAACAGTTTGAGGTTAACCTTTGAAGAAGTATGAATATTTTAACATATTATTTTCCTTTAATGCAGTTTTTTCCTTCAGGCTAAATAAAAAACTCCTTGAAGCCTGTGGTGGAAATTGACAGTGGGTAGTCAGTGGATTTGACAACAGTTAGCCAAAATATTTGGCAGACTTTTCCTAAAATCCTTTGCCATTTTGGAAGACTTATTAATTAACTCATTCTACAGCAATTTCTACTTTCTCACTTGAAAGGTTGGACCTTTTTGGGGGATGTTATTTTGTCAGGCATTTAACTTTGAGAGATTTTAGAGAAAAAGCTTTTTTGCACTTAGATAAAAGCTTTCTTACTTTCTTGGTATTGTGAGTAACATGTTATGTTACTTAAAAAGCTAACCAAAGGAAATTAGAATTCCGTCTGTCATTTGCTAGGCATCTGTTTTATTTTTTTAGTGCATTAATATTATCTATAGATCCTTAAAATTCAGTTGATGTTAAGTATAATACATTTTTCTTATTTGTATGCTTAATATTTGTCAGACTATAACTGCTATATAAAAATTTTGTAATTTTCTCATAGGCACTTAGGTTGACATAGTTTAAACTACTGTTTTAAAGTCTTATAACTTTAAAAATTGATTAAAGCCAGTAAGAAGGATGGAAGCCAAAGCTTATAAAATGTTATCAGTTTGTTAAAACTGAATCTATTTCCCAAGCCCAATATTACTGAGCAGAAAAAAAGCCTCCCAGTTTATCTTTGAAGTATTGGAGAGCATTTTTCCAACATTCACATTTTTGCAAATTTTATCATTGGCAACAAATACTGTAAGTTTTTCTTGAAGTATCAGGCTCACTTTGTTCGTTTTTGGGGAAATGTAGGTCAAATACAGAAGTCCAAGCAACCATAGTTTGTCAGTTGTCTTTTTGAGTAAAAATGAAGTTCCATGAAAAACGTGGCTAGTTCAGCTCACAGTGCAGCTCCCAAAGCACAACTTGATTTTCAAGACAAACATGGTACTTTGTTACGCTGCAGAAATGCTTTATGCATGCTTCCCATGTCATCCCAGATTTCTTATTAATAAGATGTACCCAGAACTCGTTAGGGTCTTATTAGTAGTTTACATAAGATGTACATAGAATCTTCTTGAAATAACTTATATTTTAGCCTGAATTACGTCTTCGGACAAAATTCCCCTAGGACTAAAACATGTGTTGTATAAGAGTGTACTTTTTATTGATCCTAAGTAAATGTTTCAAATTTCTTCTATTAAAAAGTCCCTATTAATCCTATCCACATATACCTGTGTAGTAGACATCAATTATATTTCCTTACCTTTTACACCCAGAGACCTGTTTTGGTTACATGCCTTCTCCCAGGTAATCCTTTTTCTTGTTAGTTACTCTTAGTCTTCTACACCTGTACTCATCCCTCCCTTTCTTCCTTCTGAGCAGAGAGTACCCCTTAGCTGTAGACAGTGTAATCTGTTTTGTTTCCAATGTTTTCTCATATTGCTAAACAATTTTTTGGCCATTTGGTTCTTAATATGCAGTGAGATCCATCAAACTCAAAGCTCATTAGTTTAAGAATAGTTTGAAATATTTTCCTTGAAATTTACAGGGATAGTCTTTACACTGTGAACTACAGTACGAGGGAGACAGGTCTGCAGACACGCAGCCCTGCAGGAAGTCCTGGACAGACTGCCCTGGGCCTCCCGGCAGTCAGGAGCCACTAACTGTTTCTTGTTCTGTATGGTGACAAAATGAGTGCCGCTTCCCTCCAAGGCCTTGACCTGACTGGGGTGAGAGGGAATTCCGTTCCCTGTGAAACAAGTTTCTGGTCTAACTTCCAACACAGATAGTTATTTTCCTGCTCTAGTATCACAGGAGAAGAGAAGCTGACTTGCAGATTCATTCGGCAGACCTGAAGGGAGCACATCAGATAGACTAGACCTCGCCGGAGGCACGGGAGGCAGGTGACTAAGCCGCGGTCCCTTCCCTCCCGCTGCAGTGGGGTGAGCTCCCCGGAAGAGCTGCAAGTCCTTGGAGAACACACCCGGCCATGTGAGGGCTGGGTGAGGACTTCAAGGGGAGGTGGTGTTTGGAAGGCCGCTGAGGATGGATGGGATTCGTTTGGACTGAGCAAAGGGATTCCAGTCAGAGGGAAGAGCATGAGCAGAGATGTCCAGAAAACGGGAGTCCTTCCATCCGGCTACCACTTAGGGCGTGAGGTAGCAGATGGCCAGACTGGGAAAAGTTGGGGGCTTTCTGTCTCTGCCGGGTATTCTGGTGCTTGAGGTCCCTAAAATTCCTGATAGGAAACTGGTGTGGGCGCACACGGCTTTTCTGAGCTGTCGCTGATTAAGAACGGTGTCGAGGTGCCTGTAATCGGGGGTGATATGTGGGGGAGATTGCACAGCTCCCTTTGTAGAGGGCATTTCACTGTCCGTTTGACTCACCAGAGACCCTGACCTTTCCTGGACAAGCCAACAGGCCAATTTCTCCTTTGAGCAGAGGTGGAATCTGGTCAGGTCACTTTGGCCTGAATTCCTCTGGCCCTTTGAGGAATGACCCGTCCAAGTGCTTTGTTGTTTGGGCCTCTGGGGAATCTGAGCTCTGCTGGGGTGTCTGGTGGTGGGGATGGGCCATCAGGGTTCGGGTTTTTTGTGCAGACATAGTGTTGGAGGAGAGGGTGCTTAGTTAAGTCCTTGCTCATGCCCACCCCCACATTTTTGCGGGGTCTCTTTGCTAGTCGCTCAGAAGGAAGTCAAATGCCCTGCAGCCCTCTTACCATAGCCCTTGAGCCTCCGGCCCTAGTTTGCCAAGCCTTCTTGTGTTCTTTTCAAGCTGTTATAATTTGCTTTGCTGGCCACACATCCTGTGCTAAAATTTTTGTCCTGCGTATAGCAGGAAACATCAGAAGTTTTGAGAAGGGGACTGAGGCAATCCTTTGCTTTAGAGCACTCCTAGCATGGAGTACAGGTCACAGAGGCAGGACCGGAGGCAGGGAGACCCAGTAGAAAGCTAGTTCAGTAGCTCAGACAACAAGATTAGAACCTGCCCAAGGAGGCAGTAGGGGCCAGGGCAGCACCGAGAGGCTGTGAGCAGTGAGAGTGAAGGAAGGGGGGTGCTCTGGGACACTGCCCGTATTCTAGCTCAGATCGTAGGTGGCTGGTAATGGGGAACACAGAAAGGCACATGCTTTGAGGGGCTACTTTGGTTTCAGAGCCATTGTGTTGGATGTCCATGGGGTATCCAGGAAGAACTTGTGAGTAGGAAGGCGGATGAAAAGAAGGGCTTGGAACCCAGGAGGAAAGGTCTAACGGGACAGAGATGGGTGGGTGTCTTCTGCACGTAATTCATTTCCCTCCCAACACAGCTGAGTGATGAAACTGACTTCTGTCAGCAGAAATGACTCCCTAAGTTACCCTTCAACGTGGGATTGTAGGGTTAAATTGGGATATTGAGGAGGCCCAAGTGTAGTTGGAAAAACTTCCCATGAGGTGCTGTCATTCCTGGTCCCAAATGGGAGTTGACACCATGGAAAGTTCAGGTGGCCACGAAAGGAGGCTTGTGGAGACTGAAGAGAAGGGGAAATTTAACAGGTTTAGGGAAAATGGAGAAGCAGGCAGAGGAAGGAGGGCAAGACCATGCGAGGAAAGAGAGGGCACATTGTGACTAAAAGGATGAATGAAGAAGGTCGCCGAGGCAGGTGCTGCAGGAGAGCCCCGTTCTCTGGGCTGTGCCGAGCTCTGCGGCCCTGGCCCACCCAGCAGAGGGCTGGGCCTGCTCCCCCGCAGGGCCCCGCCATCCACACCACCTAGTGGCTCCTTGTCCCTTTCGCGCCTGCTGTCCACAGTTGGCTTAACCTCGGGGACGGTGTGGAGATGGGGGGCTGCTGTGCGGCTGTGGAGGGGGCACACCGCCAGTACGCCCCCTGGAGCTGGGCTTCCTGGGCCGCGTCCAGGCATGAGCAGGGAGAGCCCGGTGGGCTTCTCTGCTGCTCCGCCGGCGCTGTCCTCCCTGTCAGCCTGCTGCCGTGGACCGAGTGGCTCCCGTCGCCACTGCCTGGGACTGCAGGTGCCACTTTGACCAGAGCGGCCTGTCCCTGCTCTGTCCTTCACTCTGCTCTCACTGTCCTCTGAATCAGTTTTTCTTCTTAATTCCTGAAACACAGTGATTTAATATTTAAAATACCTTTTCTTTCCATCTCTGCCTTTTGTCAGAATAATAACACAGAATAATCCAGAGGTAAGGATTGTGGTTTGCGTGGAAGATCTGGTACACTGAAGACTGAAAGTAGGTTTTCTGAGGATGCTCGTAGCATGCCTTTGGAAAATTAAAAGTTGATCCCAATTAACAGTAGATCTTCTTACCTCATGTCTTGGGCCACTGGAGAACTTCAGAGAGCACCCCAATTTCATTGTCATCTGGAATGTAAATCTTCTAAATGGACCTCGGTTTGCTGTCTCACAGACAGACTTTTTTCAGTCCCAGCAAAATTTGGCAAAGTTTTGTTTAAAGGTCCAGCAAATACTGTCCTCACTTAAAATAGAAAAGATAGCTTGAAGGATGTTTGTCAATAGTTACGTTTTTGGCTATGGTTGCACAGCAAAATGTTTAGGAAAAATAGTAATTTTAAATCTTAAAATTGTTAATTCACTTTTTTTTCTCTAGAGCATAATCAACATGGCTTTTTTGATCACACCTTTGTTTTTACAATTGATGACTTGAGTTAGTAAAAGTCTTCGGCTCCACCAAACTGTTGTGTTATATGCTCAGTAAGGATGAAACATAGATTCTTCTGTGTCTGAGTGAATTGTGCATAAATTAGAATGCTATATAAAAGAGGGTATATTTAATAGAAGTTAAATTGATATTAAAGGAAGACTCTTTTTTGCTTGTTAACAGTATTAATGATGTATAGAGGTGCATTACCAGCAATGGCCTTAGAACATGAAAGTGCTTAAGTCTTCAAGTGGTTTTCATACGTCTGTCCCAGGACTTCTCACCACAAATTCTAAGTCCTATTTTGATTAACTTTTAATACACTACATATCTGGTAATTCTTTACCCTAGGAACTTTGTTTCTGACAAATACCCTGAGTGATGGAGTTAAAAGATACTAAGTGCCAATTTACTTTTATAAATTGATTATCTTACATCATTTGATCTTTTGTAGAACTAAAAAACCAGGTTAACTTGTTTATAGCATCATTTTTTACTGGAGCTAGAGATGGCTATTGTGGTGAAGAATTTTTTCCTTCAGAAAAGCAATGGACAGACAAGGCAGATACATTGTTTAAGATAAACAGGATCCTGTGTTTTCTTTGTGAGTCTGTAAAGACCACGTGGTTGAGTTACAGGTGGATCTTAAATGTGTTGTTTAGGATTTTTAACTATTAAGAATATACATTGTAGGCCGCTGCCTCGCGCATAGACCCCAGGCGGCGGCCTCACACTGTGGGAGGGCTGGGGAGGGCGCCGAAGGGGGACGCCCCGGCCTCAGGGCCACATTTGTCGTTTTTTCCTCGTTGTCACGAATGCCGTCCGCCCGGGTGGCGCCCCCCGACCGGCCGATGAGTGGCAACGAGGACCAGGAGATGGAACTAGGAGCATTACGTTCAATTTATGAAGGAGATGAAACTTTCCGGGAATTAAGTCCAGTTTCGTTTCAGTGCAGGATAGGTGAAAATGGTGATCCCAAAGCCTTCTTAATAGAGATTTCCTGGACAGAAACATATCCCCAGACACCTCCAGTTATATCTATGAATGCTTTTTTTTTTTTGAGAGGGCATCTCATATTTATTGATCAAATGGTTGTTAACAACAATAAAATTCTGTATAGGGTTGGCAATGCTCAATGCACAATCATTAATCCACCCCAAGCCTTATTTATTCTCGTCAGTCTCCAATCTTCTGAAGCGTAACGAACAAGTTCTTACATAGTGAATAAGTTCTTACATGGTGAACAGTACAAGGGCAGTCATCACAGAAACTTTCAGTTTTGATCACACATTATGAACTATAAACAATCAGGTCAAATATGAATATTCGTTTGATTTTTGTTCTTGATTTATATGTGAATCCCACATTTCTCCCTTTCTATGAATGCTTTTTTTAACAACACCATATCATCAACTGTAAAGCAGAGTATATTAGCCAAATTACAGGAGGCAGTGGAAGTTAACCTCGGGACCGCCATGACTTACACTTTGTTTGAATATGCCAAGGACAATAAAGAGCAGTTCATGGAGAATCACCATCCCATTAATTCTGTGACACCCATAAGCAATATCGTCTCAGTTGAAACTCCTAACAGAGCCCCGTCAAGTAAGAAAAAAGACAAGAAAGAACAACTTTCAAAAGCCCAGAAACGTAAGCTGGCAGACAAAACAGATCATAAAGGAGAACTTCCTCGAGGATGGAACTGGGTTGATGTGGTAAAACATTTAAGCAAAACTGGCTCAAAAGATGATGAATAGTGCTTGGAGTTTGATACAATGCGAGAACATCCTTCAAAAAGTAACCTGGTTCAAAATCTTTCATTACTTTCACTTTCTTCTATTGAGGTGGCTTTTTATAAAACAGAATTTTTTTGTATGTTTCTTACATAAAAAATGTTTGAAGCTGAAAGTTCATTAAGAGTTCTGGTCATATTAAATTATTTTTACAAACGTGCCTTAATAAAAGGTGAAAATGTTACTGTTCAGTATACTTTATGAAGCAGTTGAACTTTGTAAATGGACAAACATTGAGAATAATAAATAATCAGTGTTAATTTATATGATCTTATTCTAGTGGATGTGATATTTTCTTAAAGGAGTATGAAGCCCATTTCAAACGCTTACCTCAGTGGAGCAGAACACTGAGTGAACGATTATTCCATGGCATGATCCACATTAATAGGCTTTTCATCTTAATAAAAGTTTCACCTTTTCTTTCTCTTAATTGCTGAAGTATAAATTGTTTTAGAGAAATTTAAATATTGGTATTTGGATTTTATACATAATATTCGTTTTAGTTTATTTTTCAAGGATGAACTTCTTTTTAATAAATGAGTATCTGTTAATACTTTTCTCTTGGTTTGGGTCACAATGTTTGATCATGAGCTTTGAATGGTATGTGGAATAGGAGAATGTAAGACCAAATCTGCCAAATACATTAGAAAGCATTTTTATATAGAAGTACTGGTTCCCATTTCTCTCTTCTGCATATAGCAGGATGGGAGTAAAAGATGCCTCAATGTTTAATTTTTGTATTGTTGTGACAGTGGTTTTAATAAATTCTTATTTATCCGCTGTTGTCTCTTTTTAGTTGTTTGGTACCTGAGGTCTTCTAAATGGCTTAATATTAAAACCACATTTCAAATCTTGTTTCTTTTCATGTACCAAATGTATTTCTCAGCCTGAATATCTTTGTAATAATAGACATAAAGGTCTTTCAAGTGCTGAGTGGTAGTACATGCTTGATTTTGTTTTTAAACATTGATAAGGGAAGCTATTTAGTATTGTTGTACCAGAAAGTTATTGATGTATATGTGCAAGTGACAGTGATTCTGTATATGCTGCCCAGCTTTAAAAACACTTAGAACTACTACTGCTGTGTGTGTGTCTGGAAGGCAGATGCTGGTTTCTTAAGTCAGACCTCGGCAGTGATGGGCTAAGGATTTAAAGAATAATTAATTTTGAAAGCAGTTTCTTTAGCATAAGAGCAATGTAAGTTTATCCATGGTTTTTACTGGGTTAACATTGGCTTCAGTAATCGTTTGAATTATAAAGTAAGTTATAATTATGGTGAAGAAGTTTAATCTCATTCAAAAGCTGAACTACGTTTGACTTCTTGAATTAATGTGATAGAAACATGAAAATTTAGAACCACTGGAATATGCCAACTTTGGGGATTATGTGTGTAGTTTCTGTTGTGTTGATTTGTTTGCCTGGTTTTCTTAAATTGCTACATCTGTTAGTGGAAGGAAATAACTGTTTTGTTCTGAAGATTCCGGAATTGTTCAGGCTTTTGTGATTCATAGATTACGAAGAATAATGCTAGGTCAATGCCAATGAACTGTTTTTACTCTTTACATATCAAATGTACAAATATTGGGGGGTGATGGCAGTGGTGCCTCTTACTACTTATGTAAAACACTTGAACAATCTCATCTATATTGCCATCATCTGTTTAATACTCCTAGTATATTTTCTCAGTCTGTTTACTTAAAATTGTATGGAATGACATATTAATAAGCAATAAAATCTGACTTGCAAAAAAAACAATATACATTGTAATTTATTTAACAAGATCAGCAAAAGTTATTAAAGCATGAGGCCTTATATGTTAGCCAATGGAAGTAATTTCCAAACATTTTATATACCATTTGACTAGAAAAGTCTTTGTAAAGAGTTATGTGAGTTTGTTACTTTGACCTGGTATCTTGATTGAAATATCATGTCTTGCTTTATTTTTAAATATCTGAGGCATGCTAGTGTTAATATGACTTTACTGAATCCATGTTATATGTACTGTCTTCCTGATAAGTTCACTGCTCAGAAATTATGACTTACACAGTTTCCAATTTGACTCAGAGGAAGAGATTTGGACCTCATTTTCATTTGAATCCAGGACCCAAGGTAGAGAAGTATAAGGTGCCTTGTTATTGATTTGAAATAGGCTCTCACTTTGAAAAACTTGGAAATTCATTTCCCACAGTGTCCCCGTTTCTTCTGCTTGTTTTAGAGTCCCTGTCCTTTCACAAATAAATGAGTTAAAATTTCAGTTGGTATTTTAATTGTGAAGACACGAGGAAATTGGGGATGATTGTAGAACCGTGCTCAAACAGTTGTCCCTTTTATTTTTTCTCATGATAGAATTCTTAAATGGATAGAGGTTTCATTTCACAGTGTACCCAGAAGTCATTAAATTTCAACAATTTTGTAATGTTTCCTGGGTGTGTTGTTTATTTATAGTTTGGTCTTTTAGGCTGGAACTTTATTAAGTAAGTTTCCATACTGATTAGGTTTTAAGAATCTATTTAATTTGCCTGAATTCTTCCTTCTCCAGTTTCCTCATTTCCTCCTAATTTTTTCCTTTTCTCCAGTGTGGTTTGTAACACTTAACTCTTTGCGCTCCTGTCATGCTTTAAAGAAGCATGTGTTTAAGAACAGAAAAGTGAATCAAATGACAGGACTGGTAGCTGTCTTGTGTTAGTGTTTTTTCATATTTCTGGTTCAGAGACTCTTTTTTGAATTGTCAGCTAAGTTTAAACTAGGCTGAACTACTCATCTGGTTTTGCAAAAGTATTTCTAATGTTTTAGGCAGTTTATGCTTTAGGATTTTTTTTTTAACAAAGGAACCCCACATGGCTGTAGTTTCTGGTACTGGTTGGCAAATGGTAGGCATTCGATAAATATCTGTTGAATAAACACATCTCCACCCTGAACATCTTTAATAAGACTGTTGGAAAAGTCAAATTTTATTGAAAATTTCACTTTGATCAGTATTCAAACACAAATTATCTCCAGAAGTAACTTAAAACTTTAAATTGCAGAGTGGACATGGTAAATGCACCTGTCATAAAGAATTTCTTGTTAATTTTTAGTGTCTGCCTCTGTAAAACTGTGGCTGTTGGCTGGTATCTGAAGGAGATCTGCACTGGGTCTATAATAGCGAACACACAAATAGATCACCTCATTCATTATTGCTGGATAAAATGGTATTCCGAGCACGGAAACCTTTTCTTCCCTGTATTCATTAGTCAGCCCATGGTGTACTTGAAAGATGGGAAGGGGCTGTGCCAGGTTGGTGGTGTTTGCCCTGAAGACTGCCTGAGCACATGCCTGGCTCTGAGTTATTTCCACCTTGGTAAGATACTCTATTTAATAATACTTTGACATTAAGGGAACCATTTGTTTTACAGCTTGGCATAGCCTAGTAATTCATTATTTTTTTGTTTTTAACCCAAGCAATACTTTGATCCTGGGCAAAGTATAAATAATACTTCATGGGTAGTCTGGCCTAATCCTAGGGTTTATATCATTATGGAGATTATCATCTTCATTTTACCAATTTGGATGAATAATTTCTGGAACTTTGTTGAACAAAAGGCTGGATGTGTAAAGAAGAAAACTTGTAAGCATCTGACACATTTGGATTATTGGGGGTCCTCACAAATTCAGACTGGCTCACATCTGTAGTTACTCAGGGAGCATGTAGAAGAGGTGTCCTGCTCTTTTCCGTATTGTGTGTTTCCTTACACGTTCCGTAGGTGATTTGGGCAACTATTTTCTCTCTTGTATCTTTCATGTGGCATCTGACTTCCTCCTCCTCCTTGCAGTAGTTGAAATCTGGCTTATCCCTCCCAATTTCACTTCCCTCTTATCTTTTTACATGGAAGATTTTTCCTTTTCTTTGTCCCCCCCTCTCCTCTGACTCAGCTTTTGCTCCTTCCAAACTGCCACCCTACAGAGTCATGTGGGCCTGCGCTCGAGTCCTGCTGTTTGAATCCTACCTGCATAACTAACTTCTGGGTTTGCTTCCTGATTTCATCATGAGTAAAGTTGTACCAACGTCATGGAGTGGCTTCTTAGTTCCCTAGGGCTACACATGCATTATCGCACACTGAGCGGCTTAAAACAACAGAAATCTTACCACGCAGCTCTGGAGGCCAAAAGCCTGAGACCGAGGTGTCAGCAGGGCCGCGCTTCCTGGAGGCTCCAGGGGCCTGTCGGCATCTTGTCTCCTTGGGCTTATGGCCAAAGCACCCCAGTCTCTGTACTGCTTGCTCCTGTGTGCGTGTGTGTGCACGCGCGCGCGTGTGTGTAAATAACACTGCGTTTTCCTGTACAGGCACGTGTCACTGGGTTTAGAGCCAACCCAGATAATCCAGGATGATCTCATCTCTGGATTCTTCTCTACATGATGTCTGCAGAGATTCCTTTCTGAATAAAATAACATTCACAGGTTCTGGGGATTAAGACGTGCGCACATGTTCTGGTGGCCTCCATCCACCCTGCCACCTACATGTGTCATGAGAATCAGGTGCAATAGGTGTGCGTGCATATATCTGTATGTGGATCGAGCTCAGTGCCTGACTGGTGTAAGTACTCTGTGTGTGTTAATGCACTTCCCTTCTCTTTAGACACTGGTGTTTCCCCACGCTTGCGTTCCGGAATGCCTCAGCGGCTGACAGGACCACCTTGTGTCGTGCCTCCCTTTATGACTTTCACAGGTTGAAGGTTTGTGGCAACCCTGCACTGAACAAGTCCGTGGGCCACATCTCTCCAACGGCATTTGCTCACTTCATGTCTCTGTGTCACATTTTGGTGATTCTCCCAGTATGTCAGGGTTTTTCACTATTACATTTGTCGTGGTGATCCGTGACCAGTGATCTTGATTACTCTTGTAATTGTTTTTGGGCATCATGAACGACGCCCACATCAGACAGTGAACGTGATGATAAATTGTGCTCTACCCCCTGCGTGCATGTGTGTGCACACGCGTGTGTGTGTAAATACCACTCTGCGTTTTCCTGTACAGGCGCGTGCCACTGGGTTTAGAGCCAACCCAGATAATCCAGGATGATCTCATCTCTGGATTCTTCTCTACATGATGTCTTCAGACATCTACATGATGCCTGCTGCCCCTCTCCCCCCACACACGTGGGCCTCAGTGTTCTCTGAGATGCAACAGTATTGAAATCAGGCCGATTTTAACCCTACAATGGCCGCTAAGTGTTCAAGTGTAGGGAGGAGTCACACGTCTGTCACGTTAAGTCAAAAGCTAGAGACGATGGACCT